AGTAGACATTCTAGCACCATGTTAAAATTAAGATACAGTTCCTAATGAGAACATCCAACCATGTCCAATGAAGTAGGAACCGCTTGGAAAGTGTCACCAACTCTAGGCTTCATCGAGGAGATGCAGAGACATGCAGAGAGGAGGACTTTGATTCGTACCGTTGGCAGCAGCCATGAGAGCCTGGAGTTGCTCGGCCTCAGTGGGCGGGTTGGGCCAGGGTCCGGTTCCCACGGCCCCCTCAGGTGGAACGCCAGCTCTGCGGGAATACGAGCGCCAGGATATCAGTGAGTCGTACAGAGAACAAATGGGGGTTCCCATTTGCTGTGAAGCGGCAGCCATTTTGTTTCGGCCGTGCGGGGGGGGGGCAGGAAACGAGGTCTAGCAGCAGAGCAGTGGGGTGACAGCAGGACGATGGGAAACGCACACATCACTTCCTTCAGCCATGACAGCTGTGGACGGCACAGGTGTGTTCTGCACAACCGGTGTAGTGTCGGGTAATAATAACCACGACCCAACCCCTCAGTCCCATGATGGTATGGGCAGCAGCTCCGCCCAGCACAGCACAGTGCAGGCTGGCTGGGCGTTAAATCAGAGCAACCCGACACCAGCCCCAGCAGCTGCAGATAAAACAGCTCACAAGGCATGGTGTGCACATGGCCTTTGTGTTACCGCGGTTACGGGCTGCACCCCCGCCTTCATCTACAACAATTAGATAACATGAGCCCATATGAGCTTGGAATGTCTCACTGGAAACATTTTACGAGGATAACGAAGTGGCCCACATCTAAATGGGTTCTTCATGTGTGCCGCTTATGTGCACATCTCCCAATCGGAAGAGCACACATCGCCAAATAGGTAACAGTATGTTCTCGTCCTTTGTGAATGAGCAATATCAATATGTGTCCCCCAACCCCCGCATCCTTCCTACACACACAGAAAGATTCTTGCTCCCTAGTTGTTCTGATGTGGTTTCCTTCCTTTGTAAGTCCCAGGTCCTGCTAGAGCCCCCAGAAAAGTGTCTGGAAAGTTCCACTACAGCAGGGTTCCAGCCGAATAAACACAGGTTTCAAAACTACATCGACACACAGGAACCTCGACAAACTGCATAAGTCTGGCAGCCACTCTGAACCGTAGGAGCGAATGTCGTGAAAAATTATGAATGGGCTGGGGGCTCAATCGTCTTTGGTGATTTCTGCACTTTACTGGGCTGCATCAGCAATCCACAGCACAGACTGCTGCTCGCACTAATTCGCAGCGGCAGCAGAATCGCCTCCCACTCGCCTACAGTGACTGAACAGGAAAAAATTTCATTTTTAGCTTAAAATAAAATAAACCCTGCCACATCTTATGGGAAATCATAGCGCTTACCACCTATAAGACCTCGTCCTTGGCTAAAATCTGGAGAAATCCTGCTGTCTAATCACACAGTGATCTCACAGACATAGCGTGTTTGTGGGAAAAAAAATCACAGCTAGAATGACTTTTGTTAGATTAAAAAGGCCGTCGCTCATAAAACTTCCTCACCTATCATTTCAAGCATCTACAGAAATACTTTCATTTCTTAAAATTGTGTGAAATCTGACCACATCTAATAAATATAACAAAATTAAAAATTTGTCTCTTCCCAATGTGACCCCCACGCTGCGCCATAACACGTTATAAAAACTTTTAAAACATTTCACATAAACCATCTGTTAGTGTTCCGCTTGTGTGCTGTGTACTTAATTTCACCATTTACCTGTCAGCATTGTCTGCACTGTCTGTACTGTCTGCATTGTCTGCACTGTCTGTACTGTCTGCACTGTCTTTGCATTTTGTCTTGGATTTGTACAGTGCATTAGCATCTTTGCACTTTACATACCTCACTGCTGTATGCACAATAATTTCCCCCCTGGGATCAATAAGGTTTATCTCATAAATACCTGTGGTGAAATACCCTTCTCAGCGTTTCAGTGTTTGACGTTAAGCATTTCATCTGGTAAACAAAACCACCATTGTGAGACAGACAGAATGGCAGCACATTCATAAAAAAAAAAGCAAACTCATTAATTATGAAGAGCACTGCGGCATCACATGTAACAGTGACAGCGATGAGCGTCTACCCTAACACCGCCTACTGAACACAGAGGCACAGCGCAGATTTACTGACAGCGTGCTACACAGATCCAAGGAGAACAAGCGCAGCTGCACATCGCTCTGGCCACACAGCGCTTCACGAAGGCAACTACCAAACACATCTGTACCTGGTTCTCTTATTTGAAGTCCATCTCAGCTCTGCGGATTCTAGTTTGGAACAACTGAAAAATGGGCATCCAGTCGTCTTCGGTTAGTGTCATGCACCAGAGTGATCAAACAATGATCTTCACTCAAGTTAGCTTCATATCTACGGCACTACGGCAGCAGGCGAACGATGGGGCTCTGAATAATGCCAGCGGCGGTCACTTTCGGCCCTTCACTTAAAATCCATAGGCCGCATTTCCCCCAGCGTGACATATTTCAGAACTCCCTGGAGTCTGTTGACACTGCCAAAAATACTACTTTGAATTTCCATTGGAATGAGGGGAATTAACAGAGAACTCTGAAAACTGGACTCTGACCAGCACAGTGACGCTGGCTTGAAGACTCTCTGTCTGCAACATTGTTACACAGCATAACCATTTTTAGGGGGTGATGCCTCAACTTGCAGAAGGTTTAGGAGTCGGCTTGGGTGGCACCTAATTTTTCATACCATACCTTCGGAACAGAATACCATGGTATAAAGAATTTTGACAGTGTTTTCGGAAGCAACATTATTCTGATATTGTGAATTTTTGGCGATAAATTCCTCGGCCTCTCCCATCAACCTCCAGCCCGGCAAGATTTAAAAATACCATAGTATACCCAATCTACTGTGGTATACCCAACATATCATCGTATACTGCATTACCTGGATACCACCCAAGCTTATTTTAGAACAAAGCTCTGCCTCAGATAAATGGCTGTGCTGAAGATTTCATAATACAAACATGTTATTTCTAAGTCACTCACCCACTAGGTCCAGGTCGCTGGTTCTGGGAGAACCTCCAGTCAGTGTTGGGGGGCTTTTGCTGAAAAAATAAATGAAAGAGCCTTTTAATGGTGTAACAAAAGGAAAAACTCATTATACTGTTATAGGTCTGGTTTTGAATAGCTCTGAGAGGAGCTACTGCAACCCAGTGCAGAGGCATTTTGGTGGCTGGAACTGGTCCAATCCAGTGGTCCTCCAGCTTCTCTGTATGACACACACACACACACACACACACACGGACGGACGCAGGAGTCAGACTGCTGGCCACAAACACACAGCAAGGGCGGCTTTGCAGTCACTCGGCGGTGATCTCACCGGACTGCAAACCCGCCACTCTGGCACTAAAAAGCCATCGGACCACCGCAAACACAATCAGCTCATTCGATGTCATAAACGCAGAGAGACTTCGGTGGCGATGAGAAGGGGGAGAACGAGCAAAATCACGCAGCGATTATTTTGCGAGTGGGTGTTCAGAAATGTGTCGCTTTCCCAAAGAAAAAAGCGAAGCCTTGACCGCAGACTTAGGTGGTCAGAGTGAGTTCATAGCCGCCTGTGAATGTCAGCCTCTGTTGCACCTAATCTTGGTACGTGTTTAGTTACACAGAAGTTGCCTGTAAGAACCATTAGTCACAAGCCATAACAGCACAACCTTAGACAAGTACTGCTGGCCTTGATAGCCTGTGTGTGACATCATACACTGTGACAATGATTAGCTCAGTGACTTCAAGGATGCACCTAAATACACTATAACTCATCAATGTAATGTTTTGTACAAACCATTTTAGGAACTTAAGGCCATTCCCTTCACCAATGGAGAAAACAGTAACATATCTTATGCGACGTCATATAAGCTGTCATCCTTCAAAACATGATGGAAATTGTTGTTATGCAAACCATACCCTTATACAGGAGCAGTCACCGTTGGTAAAGTTCAGCCTGAATGCTGCCCTTAGGCACTCTGTGCGACGATTGGCTCCCCTGCTGCCACCGTGGTCCGGCCATTCCGACCAGCACACTTCAAAGAGGCACTAATTGCTGAGAAACCACATCTGGATCCCATACCCTTCATCTCCGAGGCCACGGGCCCACAAAGTGCATCACGAGCACAATAAGTTCAACACTATCGGGGCATTCGTACACACGTGCTGGGAGCAGAACCAACATCGGACCGGGTTGGGAAACTCACAGCTCGCAGGCCAGATTTTGTAAAGTGCAGGTTGCCAGGAAAAAACAAATAAAAAATTGATAAACGTGTCCTTACAGACCACAGTGACACAGACCACAGGGAAACAGACCTCAAACACCTCAAGAAGCCACTTGTGATAGAGATTTTAACACTATTAATCTTCATACGCTTTTTTGTGTCATAATAAAACTGTTTCATTTGCATGACCAAACTCAGAACTAAGCTTAATGATTGCAGAGAGACACGGGGGCGCCTGCTGGGTGTTCGGAATTGGACAATAGGGGACAATGCTGGCTCCCTGGGTGTGAAGTGGAACCATGCTGGCACTGTCTAATCCCATTCTCCGCTGCCGAGCCGCAGGGAGGGTGCCTACAGAAGAATGCCACGCCTCAGCCTGCACGTGTCGCACAGACAGATGGTGCCCCCCCCCCCCACGTAGAAGAGGATTCAGAGAAGCGCAAGAACACGTCCCCACCCCATCTGACTCCAGCCTGGATGGCCAGAACGACACACAATTACTCATGTTACGAATAAGAAAGGCATCGAGAAAACAGGCCTGGGCATGTATCTCTTGCACAGGATGTGGGTCAGCACATATGGCGGCGTCATGTGACTTGCAGTCAGCTTCACAGGACAGCAGGAAGCCAAAGGCCAGCCAGTGACCCAGAGAATCCTGTTATTTAGCCCCCATTTCCCCCTCCCCCCTTTTCCCTTCTTCCTCTGGGGGGCTTTCCTGTGAATGAGAACACTGTCTTTATACTACTATACAGGAAACCCAACAAGGAAAACACATTTACCTGCCTCCAGTCCGATTCGCCACGGACATCTTATTCCCCACCTTCCGGATTTTACGCTATGCGATGCATAAACACACAGTGCTTCCCAGATGCGTTTATAATTAATCGCGGTAAAAAAAATTCCATCAATACTGAAATGGAAGTGGAAAGGCATCTCAGAGCAGATGCTTGGTGAACACCAGAGGAGAACCAGTCCACTGACCAGGGGTGTAGCTAGAATTTCAGGAATTCGGGGCACCTGGCAAAATGTCACCTTGGACTCCCCCCAATGATATAATTTTACATATTTAAGGGCCCCTGTAAAGTGCTAAGGTGCCTGAATCTGTCACTGATATCACACCTACCAAAGGACAGGGAATTCACACAAGCTGCGTTAACTGGCAGAGCCCCTCACCTCTTGCGCAGCGATTAAGTGTTTTCTGGAGAGCGTCATGCTCAGTGTGTTGTTGTGACTCAGCATGGGCGTCTTGACAAACACAAAGTCACTGCGGCTCGACAGGGTGGAGTAACAGGGCCTGTAGGTGTGGGTGTTGGGGTCTGTAGGACCCCCCACCACCTCCACATACTTGATGGGCCCATCGGTGTTGAGCTGCAGATGGAGGTTCTTGTGGGAGCGCTGCTGGGCCTGTCGGGAGCGCAGGCTGCGGCGGCTGTAGCAGCAGGAGTCTTCGCAGCAGGTACCGCAGCCGGGATCAGCGCCCCGGCGCAGGCAGCGCACCGCCAACACCACCACCGTCACGAAGCAGACGGCTGACACACTAGCCAGGGAGACGATCAGGTAGAGGATGGAGTCGGCCATGCCCCCTCCCATGGCCGTCCTCCTAGTATCGGGGGCGGCCTGAGAGCTCTTCTCCTCTACGGTCACGCTGACCGCCACGCTGGTGGAGAGCGACGGCTTCCCGTTGTCCTGCACCACTACCACAAAGTTGTACATGGAGCCTTCCTCTTCCTCTTCCTCCTTCAGCCTCCGGGCTGTCGTCAGTTCGCCAGTGTGTGGGCCGATGCGGAAGTGGTTGGCGTGCGGCCCGGGCGCGATGCTATAGAGGAGCCAGGCGTTGTGCCCGCTGTCCGGATCCACGCCCACGATCTTGCCCACGAGGTAGCCAGCCCCGGCAGACCGCGGGACCCGCAGCTGCATGTTGCCGTCCCTGGGGAACGGCGGGTACAGGATGACGGGCGAGTTGTCGTTCTGGTCGGTGACGAACACGTGCACGGTCACGTTGGAGCTCTGGGCGGGCAGGCCGCCGTCCCGCACCTGCACGTTGACCCTGAAGGCTTTCAGCTGCTCGTGGTCCAGCGACCGCACAGCTTGGAGACGCCCGGTCTCCGAGTCCACGTACACGTACGAGGACACGGGCGAACCGTCCACCATGCCATCCAGGATGGAGAAGGAGAGGCGAGAGTTCTCGCCCACGTCCGGGTCGGACGCGGACAAGGTGAGTAGCAGTGCACCTGGTGTATTATTTTCCGTCACGTCCACTGTGTAGGATGGCTGGGAGAAGCCGGGGGCATTGTCGTTTACATCCAACAGACGTACCACGAAAGCTGACTGTGACAAAAGGGGCGGGGACCCAGAATCTGTAGCCGTCACTACAACAGTGTATTCGGCCACTGTCTCCCTGTCCAGCACTTCAGTTGTGACTACAGTATAATGTCCCTGAAAGGGTGAGTTCAACTTAAACGGCAATCCAGCAGGAATCCTCAAAGTCACTTCCCCATTTTTCCCCGAGTCCTGGTCTTTAACGTTAATTAGCGCGATGACGGTGCCCAGTTCTGAATCCTCCTTGACGGGGCTGTTTAGAGAAGTTATCGTCACCTCGGGAGTGTTGTCGTTCACGTCCGTGATTTCCACTTTAATGGTGCAGGAGCCCTCCATGGCCGGGCTGCCCCTGTCGCGGGCCTGCACAGTGATGTCATACACATCCGCCTTCTCGTAATCCACCTCGCCGGTTACGCGCACCTCCCCGGTTTTAGCATCCACACTAAACAATCTGAGCACTCGGTCTGGCGTGTACTTACTAAACAGAAAGGAAATCTCCCCGTTCAAACCGGAATCTGCATCAGTAGCATTAAGTTTAGTGACTAAAGTACCTGGAGGAGAGTTTTCTAAAAGACTTACTCTTTTCAATGGCTCATCGAACACTGGCGCATTGTCATTTACGTCCAGGATTTTAATAATGACCGTAGTAGTACCTGATTTTTCTGGTTTCCCCCCGTCCACTGCTGTGAGCAAGAGGCGAAATTCGCCTTGCTTTTCTCTGTCCAAAGCTTTTTCCAATACCAGCTCTGGAAATTTACTGCCGTCGCTCTTGGTTTCGACCTTTAGAATAAAACAATCGTTTGGACTTAAAAAGTAAGTGCGTAGTGAATTGAGACCAACATCTAGGTCCTGTGCGCTTTGCAGCCGAAACGTGGTCCCCGGAGCGGCCGCCTCGGACATCTCCAGTGAGATGTTCTTGCTGGGGAATTGCGGAGCGTTGTCATTCACGTCCGTAATCTCCACCACAACTCGGTTTATATCTATAGGATTTTCTAGTACGATCTGAAAGTGCAGAGAACAAGTTGAACTTAATTCACATGTGCGTTCCCTGTCGATAGTCTTTTTAATTACCAGCGCTCCGGTGGCCGAGTTCACATCAAAGTACTGGGCGTTAGAATCCGAAACGACTCGTAGATTCCTCTTGGAAATACTCCGAACATCCAGTCCCAAATCTTTAACAATATTTCCAACAAAAGCTCCGGGTTGTAATTCTTCCGATACGGAATAACTAAGTTCAAGTGACGCAACAAACAGGTCCGTAAAGTTACAAAACAGGCACACGGCGAACCATCGCACGGCCCGTTTCCTTTTTCTACATTCCATTATGAAAAGTCTACTGAAATAACTGCAAACGAAGCGATCAATCCATTATCCCGTAACGCTACATTGTGTCAGATATTCCGAACGTGGCGTTAAAAGAAAACGGCATTTCATAGCGCCCTACTTTTTTTGGAAAATAAAAAAGTACAAACAAGACGCCATCCTCCCGGAGCCCACAGTGCTGGAAGAACTGTGATGGCCCACGAGGGGCGGGGGAGCGGATCCACACACAGGACAGCGTTCTATTGGAGGAGAAAACTATTCTTTCCTGAATCGGAACGGCAAAAAAGGAAGAGAATAAATAGAAGTTGATTGAAGAGGATGTATATTATACACACGGACTGCCTTCTAAGAGCCGGCGCACTATGTTAATCGCCAGAGATACGTCAAACACGCGAAATAATGCCCGTTTATTATAAACGTATACATTTCAGTAATTTCCGATATCTACAGATTGTACAGGTAGGGACTACTAAATGAAACAGCGCGTTATTATACTTTAAAATTTCAGTTTGAACTGATAGTAAAAACAGCATTGAGTTCCCGGTTAACTTCAGCCTAGTAAAATAACGGAATGCTGCTAAACATTATTCTATGAAAATTTCCACCAGGGGGCGTGGTTTAAACTCTGAATGATTATTATTCTGGTTATTTTATTGTTAATTTTATTGTCATATCTTAGTTGTTGATTGGTGGAGAAATACGCCTAAAGGCATGTAAGCTCAATATGTGTTGGCCTGCATTCGAAAAGATGTAAAATATCTTGTATAAAACCACGTCAAGGAAGCGCAAACAACTGTACATTCATACATATATATCTATCATATTTTTACAAATAGAAAGGGTGGTACGTGACATTAGTTGGGTCCTAAACCATCAAACTTTAAAAGTATTTCTAAAATTAGTTTTCTGTATTTAGCCATATCCTTGAATATTACATAAAATTCTGTATATGCTTATTAAATATTAACACAAGTGATATCAGATAAATAGGTGCTTTTGGTTGCTTTTCTTGGTGGCATTCTTGGGCTTTGCGGCTGAAATCCAAGATTTGTTGGAGGAACCCGCTCTCCAATGATACGCCAGCTGTCATTTTGGAATCATTCTGCAGTGACACTGCAAGTTTAGTGTGCAATTCCCCTGGATTGTACAGTGAAAACAGAGATGCCTGTTGTCTCCGTTGATTTAAAGGAGATTCGGGCACTGTGACCTATGTCAGCTCTTACTGCCATTACCTTTGCAATTAAAGTACTCCACTGATGCAAGGCTGATCGCTTGGCAGCAGAGACTTAATACTTTGCCATTCTGATCTGGAATGTTTGACACAAATCGTGGTGCTGCTGTACTGCGGCAAAGAGTCATTGTCCTTCAGCTGTACCTGAATCTGCAGCTCCTTACAGTTAAAGTTCTACATGCTATAATGTTATAGCTACCACCCTCCTTTATATTGGAATCAGTTATGGAGAATAATGTTCCCTCCAACATTGACACTGTATCCAGTATTTAACACATTATCAAGTTCATGAAATAGAAGTTAAATATCACCCTTTGAACCATACATCTTAAGAATTTACACGAATTAAAAAATTGTGTACAGTGGTGAATTATAATTATCATGTAGAACTTTTTAATTAATATGTGCTATCCCATGTTAAAGAAAGATAATCTCGGGAAAATACAGTAACAAATTGTATTTGGAGCCAGAATTAATTCACATTATAAAGAATTCTCATAGTCAGAATTTCACCCATTTGTCTCACATTACTGCTGACTTAGCCTAGGATTGCAATGAGCCTGGAGTCTGTCTGAGGAAGCAGAATGAAAGGACCAGGCCAGGAGGGATGCCAGTCCGTCACAGAGCAAACACCCTCACGCTACGGGCGATTCAGAGACATGGATTCATCCAACTGCTCGGTTTCAAACAACAGAAGGAAACCAAAGTAGCTGGAGAAAAATCATATGACTACAGGAAGATCGTACAGCCCCACACACGAACAAAAGTAGGAATGAGGCCCAAAACCCCAGGGGTGTGAGGCTGCAGTGCTGCCCACTGAGCTGTTATGCTATACCTAAAATCTTAATTGTGAGGTCAAAATAAATGCAATCACTCGAGTATGTTCATGCCTCCACTGGGACAATGTGTGCTCTGAAACAGAATGGGTTCTGCTACCTTCTTTACCTTAACGATTCATGTTCTTATTAGGAATCATTGTCACCAACATGTTAAATCCTTTTAGCTGTAGACTCACAGTATCCTCTGAAAATAACAGACAAGTTCTTCTTTGTTCTCTTTCTTCTTGTTCTAGTTCTTTCAAAGCGGACCCTTTCCCAGAGCCATACTAAAATACTGATTACCACCTTTTCAGCTAATCAGCAGCTTCATGTAAAAACTCCCAGTACAATTTCAGGTTCCACATAATTTGTTAGATTTACATCTTTTGGGAATTCCATGGTAATGTTGGAGTGGAATTGTTCGTACTTTACAGAAAAAGTGAATATACCATTTCAAAATAGTATGTACCATTCCAAAAGTGCATACACCATTTCAAATGGCCACCATTTCCTTATGTTTCCATTTCACCATTTCACTGTGGATTGTTCATTCAGTAAGCATTTGGAGTAATACCTACATCAGACTAAAAATAGCTTAATTTCCATTCTACTAAAATATAGTATAAATGTGTCTATTAATATATGTGTTCACATCCGAACCTATTGTGACAAATATATTAACAAAGGCAGAAACAGTTTCTGGGTTTCCATTTAGGATACAATTTGTGACTTGGGAATATTCAGATGAAATATTAATTCATTCATTCATTCATTTTCCATACCCACTTGCCTTATGCAGGGTCGTGGGGGTCTGGAGCCTAGATCAAAAACAACAAGTACAAGGCAGGGAATTCAGAAGGAACATAATTATCATAAATATTATTACACCCACACCTGGAAGATAGAACTATTGACAGTACATCTGATACGCAGACTACAATAATTATATCAGGCATTAGAATAAGGAGCCCGGTAATTTAAAGGAAAATGTAACACTGCAACAATAAAACAATTTTCCTCTTAGATGTCTACATACAAATTATCTTGCATTAAATATGCAACAGGGATAGCATGGTAGTCACTGGGTAGCATTCTGCTGTCTCACATCTTCAGGGTTGAGGGTTTGAACCAGGGATGGATTACGGACCGGGCCAGCGGGGCCGCTGCCCAGGGGCCCTTGGGGTGCAGGGGGCCCGTGGGGCCC